GTGACTCCCCCTTGCAACTGTATGCGGGCTCTATTTTCTCCTTGGTGCGGTGTGGGAGCATCCAACTCAGGAGTACTGGCTGCCTGGCCAACTCCCGCCACCGCACCTGCAGCACATGGGCGATGGTGCGCGCCTGAAGTTTGTGTCAGCACTGCGCAGGAAGCCCCCATGGTGTTGCTTTTTTGGGGCGATGTCCGAAGCTACAGTGCAGATTGTGAGTTCTGCATGTTCTGCCAACTTGAGACTCGCATCAGGCAGCCTGAACATGGCAATTCACCCGGTGGCCATGCAAATGCCTCATCCCCACATTCAGCACATTGTCCGAGACCCAGGTGTGCTACCGTGAGTATCGTACCTGCCTTCGCGTTGCTAGCATATGGAAGAAAAAGCCTTGCAGTCCGCCCTTAAAATTTTGGTCGACTGCGCTTGTCCACAGCGTCACTGATTGAACAGAAGCCCTTGCTGAGGCGAACTGCGTCCTGCTGGCACCCAACAATTTGCCGGTGCCACCTCCCCCTCAGCAGCTTGGCATCACGAAGAATCTTACGATCTCTGGAGCAGAACCTGGCATGTGAAGACAGACATGCTTAAGGATGCATCCAGCAAAGAAGCAACAGGGCAACCTCAACAAGAAAAGATCTGGCTAGCAGACGCTTTCTGGGAGGATTCCAGAAAACGTCAGTGGACAATCGAGTATCTCCATGATGTCGCCAGGCATGCTGCCCCGCTGACAGCCCAGTTCGGGTTGCCAACTTTGCTGTGCTCGCAGCCACAGATGCGCCAGCGGCCGCCTCAGCTCAGATCCACATGATGCTTGCGATTGTTGCGGCCTGAAGATTTGCATCGTCAATTGAGGAACATGCAGATGCAGAAGTTCCTGCCTCCCCCTCCGAAGCCACCTGCTCCACCGACTGAGGAGCCTCAGAACCTGCGCTGGCCTCACCCCTGACGAACGCAGTCCTGACAGACATTGGGATCTCGGTGGGGCATACTTTGAGGCCCGTCCATCAGCCGGAAAAGAAATCACCGCCCACTAGGGAGGCTTGATCAGCTCCTTCATGCACCGTGTTCTAAAAATTCGGTTCGAGTACTGCGCAGGAGTGCATGAAGCATGCTGAGGAGGCCAGCAACGGCCCCGAGGTTGCAGAGAAGATCGTTCCAGTGTTGCCAGGTCCTGGAAGAGCAAAGGAGCTTCCTGGGCCAACTTCGCATATTGCCGCTTGAGGCGCGGACTTGCTTTTGCCATGTCCCCCGTTGCACAAAGCTTGGTGGTTCAGTGGGTATTATCCAGATCCTGCTCCCAGCCGGAGCAAGAGCATTGAATTGTCTAGGGTCATGTCATGGGGTCACGATGCGGTGGCAGACTAGGACCCAGACTCCTTGGAGGATCTGAAAATGTGATGCCCTATATAGACCCATAATAGCCCCTATATAATCCTTAGATACTTTCCGATATGGTTCTAGGGGATCTGATTTGTGGATCCTTTTGGAGGCATGCCGCTGCGTTTGCTGAGGGTGAATGTGCCCAAGTGCTCCAACCTTGCTGCCTGGGCAGGAAGCCCGGCGCCTTTGGGCAGACGCAATGAATGACGTGTTTAAGGGTCCCAGCCCAACTGGACCTGGGCAGGAGGCCTACAGGGATTGTTTTGATGCCCGGCTTTCATATCTCCATCCCTTTTTCAAGCTATAGCTTGAGGCTAGAAGACTTGCGCGTTGTGGTCCCACCACCTGACGAGCTTCCAGAATGCGCAGAGGAGCTCAGTGACATTGGACCAGCTGGCGGCTTAGTCCGAATGTCTTACTTCCGTTTGCTACTGCTCAGGTTGCCCTTCCTATGATGACGGGGGCTGCAGAATCCCCAAAGCTCGCCAACGAGGCATGACCTGCCAGCGGGGCTAGGGTATTCAACGTAGCCGTGCATGTCCGATGTAACCCACTTATGCGCACATTGTATGTGTTTGAGGGCCCGCTCCTTGTTGAAAAATTGCTGCAGCACACCCTTTTCGGAGGGCGCTCTCGTGGAAGCGAGCCTGGAGACCCAAGGAGTGAACGCTGCCAAGGCCATGATGCAGAGAGCACTGCAGCTTTTGCAAGGCTTTGCTAACTAGACTGAACATATGAGCTGGGGTCAAAAGTACCGTTCTTGTGCAGTGTAAAGGTGGTTTTTCAAGGAGTGGAAAGATGTTGAAACCACTGTAAAACGACACGGGGCACCCCCAAAAACGATACCCCATAATTACCGATGCCTCCCAGACCTCGCGATACCGGGGGCACCCTACATGAATTCCACCATTACCACAGACAAGCATGTTTGACGCCAACTCATATCATCGCACATTTCAAGTAGACTGCCTTCAGCCATTTCAAGTCAGTATTCTGCAAGGGTCTCTCGCTGTGCATAGCCCGCCCAGCACTATAATGTACTATAGCATACTATAATTTACTGTAATATCCTATAAAATTCCGTAATGCTCCGTAATACTCGACAATATTCTATAATATATTATAATACTCTATAAAGACCACCTCTGCGCTGCCTGTCAGGCCAAGCGCGCTGAGGGCAAGAAATCTTCCAGCGCCAGGGGCTTCTTGCTGGTGGCCTGCGTAGCCTCAATATTATAAGTACTATATATAGTTATTAGTACATATTATTTTACTACAATTATTATGACATATTCTGAATAACATTATTTTACAGTATTAGTCATTCTGGAAGGGAACGCTGTGTAATAAGTTTCAATGCCCAACATCTGAATCCGTAGATCGCGGTCTTTCTGTTGTTATTGTTGCGCAACTTTAGAGACATCCTCATACTGTGAATGGAGGAAATCTTGCACAGCCCGAAGTACCTGCAGTCCTTCAAATTCCCGTCGTTCCGTTTTAGGTGGTGCAGGATTTCTTCCATCCACCGTATGGCTAGCTTCAACAACTGCCAAGCCTACGCCCAATGCAGTGCCTCGTGAGTGAAAGTGGCACTTCTAATCCTGAGTGACGAAGACTTGAAAGCATCAGCTCCTATGCAGACACTGCAAACGAAATGTCAGATCTAGCAGTTGGCTGAGGCCTCAACCTGGCCAGGGCAGAAAGGCAGTCCCCACAAAGCCTCTTGTCTCTGAAAGCTTGGGAGAGCTGTGTGGAGCACCTTGCTGTTTTGGAAATGTTGGTGTCAGCAGATGTCAGCAGCATTGTGCTCGACTGCAGCTTTTGGGTTAACGTTTCCTGGGGGTCATCTCGCACGTAGATCTGCATCGCATTGCATGGCAGGAAGCAAATCATACTTGTAGGAGTTCCAGACGCTCCAAAACGTGTTGGAGCGCATGCCTTTGTTGGAGTGCATGCTTTGTGACTAGAAGCTAGCTGTTCCTCAAGGGGCCTAGGCGCTCTGCAGCCCCCCGATCCACAACACTGCTGGGTAGAAAGCTGGAAAGCGGGTGCAAACACGAAGCCATTTTAAGGCTCCCGGCAATTTTTT